CAGAATCGCGGGGAGAGGGAGGGCTTGTTCACATCACTCCCGAAAGAGGCACGAAGGCGACATTCTGGAATTAGGATCATGAAACATCTGGAAGCCTCTAGACCTTAGTGTGTGACCCTGACGGTGCTAATACTGTGCTAAACTGATTTTTTCTTTTTCTTTTTTTTTTTTGTATTGGAGATTGACCCCAGGGGCGCTTTATTACTGAGCTACATCCCCAGCCCTTTTTTAAAATTTTGAGACAGGGCATCACTAAATTGCTCAGAGCCTCACTAAGTTGTTGAGGCTAACCTTGAACTTGCCATCCTCCTGCCTCAGCCTCCTGATTTGCTAGGATTCCCAGCATGCAGCACCGTGCCCAGTGCTATATTGATCTTGGGGAATTACTTATCCCTAAGCATCTGTTTCCCCATCTCATCAGTACAGAACTTGGGACTATATAGAGGATTAATTGGAATAATGCAGGTAGTTAATAAATGTTTTATTTTTTCCTCCCGGTACTGGGATCGAACCTGGGGTACCGTACCACTGAGCCACATCCCCCATCCTTTTGATTTTATTTGAGGCAGGGTCTCACTAAGTTGCCCAGGCTGACAACTTGCCTACTCCTGCTTCAGTCTTACAGACGGGCACCACCATGCCTCACTCTGCTAATTTCTTGACTAGGTGACATCCTGAAGGGAAGGCTCAAATTCTACTTCCTAGCCCAGTGTGGTTGGCACAGCCGCAATCCCGGTTCCCAGAGAGGCTGAGGCAGGAGGATCACAAGTTTGAGGTCAGCCTGGGCAAATTAGTGAGATTCTGTCTCAAAAATAATATAGAGGGCTGGGGTTGTGGCTCAGTGGTAGAGTGATCGCCTTGTATGTGTGAGGCACCGGGGTTCAGATTCTCGGCACCACATATTAATTAATTAAATAAAGGTCTATGGACAACTAAACAAAATTTTTTAAAAATAAACAAAAGGGCTGGAGATGTGGCTCAGTGTTTGAGTACCCTGAGTTCAATCCCCAATACCAAATATATATGTATACATACATATACATGTTATAAAAGACAAACAATTTCAAACAAAATTGCTCTTTTTTCATTTTTGAAGTGTTTTATATACTTGCCTAGTTCTATTTTTTATTTGTAACTGTTGTGTTCATGTTATAGCTTGTGTAAATTTGTACAACAAATAATTTAAATTTTCATACTTGGTTGAATTATTTCCTCTTAATCATGTTTATCTCATGTTCATTCCACATTTCTTCAATCATATACTTTATAATTGGACTTCATTAAATATCAGACAAATGTTTATTCAAAAATAAATAAATAAAATAGAAAGGGCTGGGTTGAACTTTAGTGGCAGAGTGCTTGCCTAGCATGCCTGCAAGGCCCTGGGTTCAATCCCCAGTACCACAAGGAAAAAAGAAAAAAAAAAACTGGTCTCTTTTTCTTTGTGGAAAGAATTGGGTAAGTACTCCCCTTTTGATAATAATCTCCCGTAGGGGCTGGGGATGTGGCTCAAGCGGTAGCGCGCTCGCCTAGCATGCGTGCGGCCCGGGTTCGATCCTCAGCAGCACCACATACCAACAAAGATGTTGTGTCCGCTGAGAACTAAGAAAAAATGAATAAATGTTAAAATTCTCTCGCTCTGTCCCCCTCTCTCTCACTCTCTCTTTAAAAAAAAAAAAATAGCATTAAATAATAATAATAATCTCCCGTTCCTGAACCTCATATGTAAAACTAAGATATTAGATTAGCCTCAAGTCACCAAAGCAACTAAAGGAATGAACTTTGCTATCAGCAACTAAAGGCCTGAACTTTGCTATCAGGAGTCCTCACTGTGGCCTTGGACACATTAGTTTCTTCATCTGTAAAATGGGGATACTACCTACCCTACAGGGTTGCGTTAGGACTGAGTGAGATGAGTACCTATTAAAACATCTGTACAGACTACATTTTCAAAAGCATTTCCTGCTGTTCATCGTCTCTTAAGACTTCCAGCTATGACGGTTTGGTTTCTAATCTCAGGCCCACTTAATTTATGCCCAGATTCAACCACCAAAACCTTTCTCTGCACAACTCAGATCGCACCTTTTACTAATTTATTTTCTGTTTGACTCCCTCCACCGCCCCAGCCCAGCGCAGTGCTGGGGATCAGACCCAGGGCTTCAAGCAAGCTAGACTGGTACTCTACCACTGAGCTAAACTCCCAGCCACCCCCACCCCTGTTTGACTTCCTAACCTATGGTATAAGGTGGGGGAGAGATTTCTTGGGGCATTCTTTGTGCACCAATTAGATGATGAAGACAGCTGCCAGTCACTGAGCCACCTCCAGCTACCAGATGCCAACATTACAAGGTTTACAGATGAGAAAGCAAAAGCTCCAAAAAGGGAAGACTATACAGGTAGGAACAGAAGAATTGGACTCAAACCCAGCACTGTCTGCCCTTTCTATAGAATCCCACTCTAGTGATACAGGTGGGCAAAGATAAGCCAAGCTGGCAGTCCAGGCCCACTGCCAAGTAAGGGCTGGGGTGGAAACGACACCGGAGGTTGAAGGTAGGAGAATTATTATGGCGCTGCTCCCAGAAAACTTCTGAAGCTTGAGATACATGAGGATGAGGAAGTCCGAGGTCATGCTGCAGCCAAGTGCTCTTTGGAGGGCTGTAAGGGAATCTTGGTCAGGGAGAATAGCAACCTCATACTGTCACCTTGCTCATAAATGTAAGCAAGAACCAGCAGTGTGGGAGGCAAGAGCCACAGCAAGCCCGGGGAGCAGGAGTGGCATTTACCAGGCATCAGGGTTTACCCCACCTCCCTCTGCCCAGGGCCTGTAGCAGTCAGACCCTCAGTGGATATCTTCCTGGGAGGGAGATTGGAGCCTTCCAATTTGCAGCTCAGTTTGGTTTAAAAAAAAATTCATAAGGGGAAGTCAGAGTCTTATTTTAGTAAAGCATATATTTGTATCAGAAAAACTTGGAAAATAGCTGGATGCTTTGCACACACCTGTGATCCCAGCAGCTTGGGAGGCTGAGGTAGGAGGATCACAAGTTCAAAGCCAGCCTCAGCAAAAGAGAGTCACTAAGCAACTCCATGAGACCCTGTCTCTAAATCAAATACAAAATAGGGCTGGGGATCTGGCTCAGTGGTGAGTGCCCCTGAGTTCAATAACTGGTACTGCCCCCCCCAAAAAAAAACTTGGAAAATAATAATTGCCATCATTAATTGAGGATGTATGTTGTGCGGACTGGCATACTTAACAATTCTCTGAGGCTGGGTTCTGGCACCTACTCACTGGCTGTTCCTGCTCAACGACTTCACTTTCTATATCTGTAAAAGCAGAAATGTGAGTAGGACCTACCTCATAGGATTATTGTGCAAATTAAATTCCCCATATTATTAATGTCAGTCTCCGCCAAGGGGGAGGAGGAATAGGTCCTTGTTCCCTGGTGTTGAAGATTAAACACCCAAAAAACACCAAGGCAAGTGTAGAAAGCACGTTTTATTTAAGCGAAGAAAATAGACTTCTCTGAAGAGTAGGGGACACAGACCTGGGAGTCTGCCAGAGGGGGTGCATCTTGATGTCTTAGCACCTTAACTTTGTAAACTAATCAGGTGTCCCCTAAAACAAACACATTTACAAAGATTAATCCCATTTATGTTAGATTAATGTGCTCATTTTTTTTCATAATGAGGATTGAACCCAGAGGTGCTTAACCACTAAGCCACATCCCCAACCCTTTTTATATTTTATTTAGAAACAAGGTCTCCCTGAATTGCTTAAGGCCTCGCTAAGGCTGGCTTTGAACTCTCAATCCTCCTGCCTCAGCCTCCCGAGCCACTGGGATTACAAGTATGCGCCACCATACCCAGCCTAATGTACCTGTTTTTTAACTATAACAACCAAGACATCAGACAAATGTAGTTAACGGTATTAGCCATCCTTTCCCTGTTGAAGAGGAAATCCTAGAAGCAATGAATTTTATTCTCTAGACATTCTATAGAAACCAACACTCTATTGCCTGACCACCTAGAGAAACTTATGGGTTAGTAATTTTAAAGACATCTTTACTCTCATCTGTTTTCCCAATTTAAACTTTTTCTTAAAGGATTAAGTCATGGGACTGGGGTTGTGGCTCAGTAGTAAAGTGCTCGCCTAGCATGGGCAAGGCCATGGGTACAATCCTCAACACCACATAAAAATAAATAAAGATATTGTGTCCAACTACATCTGAAAAATAAATATTAAAAAAGGATTAAGTCATGTGAACTAAAAGGTATTTGGATTCCTTTCTTCTTCCTAAATTTTAACTTATGAATGTTCATTTATATGTCAACCTTGGTACCAGGTAAATAATATGTAGACAGAGACACATATACACATACA